GGTCTCAGATACCAATGGTAAGTATATTATTGATTTTAAACCGTTTATTGCGCGGGCGTGTTGACGTTAAATGTGGAATAATAACCCTCAGACCAGACAGTCTAGTCTAGACTTTGCGTGGGCCAGAACAATAGGTTACTCACTACAAAAATTAAATTATGTCACAATAAATAATAAAAAATAACCGGAGGCCTTATAAAGTCCTCTTTCCCTTCCCCCCGTCTTCCTTATAAGGAAAGGATGGGATATGGAAGTGGACTTTCCGGATGAGAGGATGCATGGAAAGAGAAAATATTGTCTTTCTGTGCATCCTCTCCTCCGTCGATTAAAGGGAGGCAACGCATATGCAATTGCGTATGTCTATGGGCAACGGTCACTTCGCTATTTCAGCGATTTCAGGTGGCCGCTCGCTCGTTTGCCACCTTATGATATAAAAAAAAATCTTAATATTTTCTCTTTATAAGATACAATGTCACTATTTAAAGCTAAAATATCAATGTATATTTCTAAGAGATGTACAAACTAAGAATCTAAGAAAATCAGTAGAAATCGCTTTATAAAACCCCTAGTGGAACGACATATCTATAACGGTAACCAAATACTTTCAACTAAAAGCCATATAATATAAAAAAAATAGGTTACAAATTTTATAGGTTATTTTTAAAACCGATTTTAGCTGTAACTCTTAGCTGGAGCTCTGGCGTCATGTGGATTAAAAGTGCTATAGTAATATCCACTTTAAGTGGTCCTGCTGGCCGCCACAGTACTCACGATGACGTCACATGAGTAATACGTTCAAAGATAAAGTAATGTCTATGAATCTGGTAAAAGCCGGTTAAGAACTTATGTGCATCGTATTTACTTTCTGTTCTATATCGGATGACGTAAAATATTGATTTTTGTTGTAGTAATTGATTATTTTTATTATATTTATTGGGAAAACCTTTGCAAGTTAACCTTTAAAATGAACGACATGAACGACTTTATTAATAAAACAAATAATAATTTGCGTCTTCTAGAATCTTAAGTGGGTTTCGCCTTCTTTAGTACTTATAAATATATGTTTCCGTCTCTATTTAATCAAAGTAAATGAAAGGGATGACCTCAACCTTCACATTTGTTGCATTTCTATTACGAAAGTAGATTGTTTCTAGACATTTTTGATTGTTTCTAGTCACGAATAAATGTAACGCATTTGAGTGATATTTGGTAAGTTTCTAGTGCACAGAACATTCAAAAACATGTTGTTATCTCTTTCTTTTTCAGTAACAATGAAAGAGATGCGAATATGTTTGATTTTGTCTCAAAGGCTTGATATCTGTTTGTTTATTTCTCTATCAGAATTTTTTTTCTGTTGTTTACATTCCCGTCTTGTACAAGTTTTAATATATGACTTTTGAATGACGCAATTTAGACGAATAACAGATTAAAACGCGTTTACAATGACGTATATTCTAAGAGGAATTACGTGGTATTAATACGCAGAAGAAAAGCACATAATATCAATAAATAAATGACTATATATTTCAGGCTTTTCTAGTGTTACTATTTCGTGAAAGAATTCCATTTAGTACGAAAGACCGGTATGTGATTGTATAAAAGACATTCAAGGTCTGAAATCCCGGCAGTTGAATACAAGGCAACGCCTGAAAGCATTCAGTAAATCTATTCACTCTAATTGAATTCAAAGAAATAAATTTTGATTTGGTAAAAGCTTGCGAAAGACTAGTCAACGAACACTTTGGTATTTTTTTTGTATATTGTTCTCTGTATATTTTAATATTACTATAATATTAAAAATGTGAATGTTTCGATGTATGGATGGATGTTTGATAGAAGGCAGAATGGCTGAAAGGATTTCGATGAAATTTGACTTATATGTAGAATATAGTCCGAACGAACACATAGGATACTAATTAAGTTCTTTAAAATACGCGCGGGCGAGTCGCGGGCGACACCTAGTGTAGTTATAAGTATGGCATATATGTAAATAACCAGTAGCTGAACAAACTTAACTTTTATACTTCGTTCATTAGAATTGTTATCTTAAAATGTATTCAATTTGTAATATTACACCCGTGTATATTACCGCACTAATGACGTATGAACGCGATCGACGAACTTTCAGACATGTCGATAAATATAACCCAAACACACCCACATACACATTTACTCACAATTACAAATAAATACTTTATTAGTTACACGCACTATGACGTCAGCGATTGACGTAATGTACGGATACAAGACAGCTGTAGCACTGGATAGTTTCTTCGTAAGGTTAGAATGTACAGGCCAGAATATCGTCTGAAATTGTTGCTTTGATATGTCTTAAACCTGATTTTCAAGCGTCTATTACATTTCTATATATTATTATAAAAGATAGTTGCACGCAACCTGTTTGTAAAGGTCGTCGTGAGAAAGTCGTTGCAATTTTCAAAATGGTAACACGTAAGTGCGCAAAACATTTAACCTCAAAGAACTTACGAATAACAAACTCTAAATATAAAGATTTACAATTCAACTACGCCTCAAACAAGACATCAAAGAGAATAGAGATGAATGGAAAAATTTTAGGTAAATTAATTAACGGCTCACAACACTAAAAAAACAAGCAAGGCAACTGAACAATGCTACTGGTTACTTACAATATAATTTAAACTCGTTATAAAATTGTTATTCCGATATATTTGTAGCAAGTCTACTCAATTTAGAGTCGGAAAATTGTTACCATGAGTTTCCATGACGAAAAAACCAGAACAAAAACATATCGTAATTTTTGTTTTCATTTCAAAGATATCTTTGGATTGGATTTTAAGGTCTTTTTCAAATCACATCACCATCTTACATCAGAAGAGATTATACATTTCTTGGAATTAATCGTCGAGAACAAATGAAAACTATTTCGATAAATCGTTGATAGAAACAATATAACTTACGCCAGCAAACCAGTGGGGTAAGCAATTCATCGCGCCCCTGACATCTTTCTCGGTTTTTTGCCATGTACGCGTTCAAACATGCTCGTAAGTTTCGGATACTCTTAATACCAACCTTCTTGAGTACTTAAATATTAAATATGATACCAAAATAATCGCCTCAATGTAACGACCAGTGATCAACAATGAATAAATATTGAACACAATTTCCCTCTAATGATCTTTCCTTTATTATAACAGAGTTTCTTTTGTATTGATTCTCTTTTCCTTTCTGTCCCATTAAAGTTTTCTGTTTTCATTAATGAATTTCCTTCAATAAAGGAATATTAATGACATTTTTAAAAGCATTTCTCTAATTCATTTTCGTAAACAATCTTCCAATGAGGATTAAATACAAAGCTTTGAGTAATTCAACCACATAATTAGTTTTTCAGTTAATTAGTGTTTAGTTTTATGTCGCCACGGTCTAAACACATAATGTGTTTACAAAAATATTGCTATCCTTCTCATTATCTTTGATAAAACAGAGACAACAAAATTTGACTGTACTGGCAAAAAACACGGCAATGGAACTTTACTATGAGGAAGGAAACGTTAAAATATTCCCGTTATTGATATCTTGGAATCGGTTAGTTTTCATAGCCGGACCTTGGCCGATATAGCACGGCACGTCCGGCCCTCAATGAAGCACACGTGACGTTCACGTGACGCTGACGAGGTATTTCTGTCCGGCGCCAAACATTCCGCGCTATCCATCACACGCCCGACGTCGTATAAACATGTGCAATGGATACTTTTCTGTACTCCGCCACGGTCTGCTTTTTAATATCAAAATAATGAGTATAAAGTATTTTCATTTGAAAATTGAGAATAAAATAATTTGAGATTTTATTAATAGGTTATATTTTCCCGAGTAAAAAAACTTTTTTTTTATATATCATAAGGTGGCAAACGAGCGAGCGGCCACTGAAATAGCGAAGTAACCGTTGCCCTTAGACATACGCAATTGCATATGCGTTGCCTACCTTTGATCGAAGGAGGATAGGATGCACAGAAAGAAAATATTTCCCCTTTCCATGCATCCTCTCATAAGGAAAGTCCACATCCACTTACCATCCTTTCCTTATAAGAAAAAGGGTGGGAAGGGAAAAAGGACTAAATTAGGCCTCCGGAAAACATTTGAATGATGGAACAACTTTAATGTTTCCGAATGAGGTTAAATAATATTATATTATATATTTTTAATCTGTGCTAAGTATCCTATTACTTATTGTTGTTTACTTTATTATCACTGAGCTATTATATTTATATTTCCTCGTGCGAAGGCGGCTTATTGCCAAAACCCGAGACTAATAATAGCCCCCGTAACATTCAGCCAATGCCAAACGGAATTGCGATGTAAAAACAACTCTGAGTTACATTAATAGAATCTATTTTCATATAGCAATGTATCCGAAATGTTTACAGATTATAAAACCCGTAATATGGCAATTGTGAGGCGTGAGACTGAAGATTCGGCAAACACTGCGTTTGTATTATAATGATTTGTTTAACGCAAACGGATCGGGTTTAGAGAGTGATGTCAAACAAAGAATAAATTTTTGTAGACTTCATATTTCTGTTTTTTTTTTTAACTGAATTGCCACTGTTTGCCTTGAGGCATTTACAGCTTCACCGGGCTTTAGGTGGCCGAGCGCATATGCACTTAGCCTAAACCTCGTTTAAGAGTAAATTCACATTTCTGGAAAGTTCCAATGTTTAAAAAGAGAATGTTCAATTGTTTGTAGTAAGGAAATTGTTTCATAAATATTGAGTTATTAAGTCTTTGTCAACATGGTATGAAAACTAATCTCAGGACCGTCTTAACTCGAGTTAAAAGGTGTGGTTTTCCAGCGCATTTTAACGAGCGCTAGACCGCCCCCGGGCGTCTGATATGTTTTCGATAGAATAATTGAAATTGGTACGTGCTAAATTCTATGGTGCCAGTTACCTTATCGATATTCGACCTTTAATATGTAGCGAATAAAATACTTTGACTTTACATTGTATTGTTTTTTGTTACAGATACGAGAGGCTGCTGCGTCGTGCTCGCAGTGAGGACCTCAGCGAGATCTCTGGCATCGGCTGCCTGTACCAGAGCGGTGTTGACCGGCTCGGACGGCCGGTCGTCGTCTTCATCGGCAAATGGTTCCCAATTGGAGACATAGATTTAGATAAGGTAAGACGCTTGGCGACTTTACTAATTTGTAAATTGCTTAGAAATTTTGACAACGCGTCGGTAAATTACTGTTGTTGCGGTTGTTGGCTAATTTCTTTAATACAATAGTAAGTATTGTTACAGTTGTTGTGTTGTTATAGGCGATGCTGTACCTCATCAAGCTGCTGGAGCCGATAGTCCGCGGCGACTATGTGATCGCATATTTCCACACGCTCGCCTCCTCCGCCAACCATCCGCCTTTCTCCTGGCTCAAGGAGGTCTACACAGTACTGCCTTACAAGTACGTCACACCTTACCTTACCTATCTATAGTCTATCTACTGCCTGAGTACTAATCTTAATAAATGCTTGGAAAGTGATAGGTTTTGCTTCCTTCAGATTTAAACTCGCCTGGTTATGTTACGTCACAGTTAATTCTATCTATATTATTAGTTAGGATCCACACCATATCAAACTACTACCATCAGCGCTAAAATGGCGAAAATCAAATATGCACAATAAACCAGGTCTTATACTCAGTCCTTAAAATATATGATTACTACATTTCAGATACAAAAAGAACTTGAAAGCGTTCTACATTGTACATCCCACGTTTTGGACTAAGGTGAGTTACTGAATGAATGATTACATCTTGTTCTATTGAATGACTGAACGGTGACAACTCAAAATTATAGCATTTCTTAAAACTAATATCACAGTAATATCACATCCGAAGATAAAAATCAATAAAACATACAAAATTTACCACGATAAAATACTTTTAATGCCATTCTGCTGTACTTAATCGTTGAATAAAATCAGTGTATTATTGCAATGAATGATTGAATGACAGTTTGCATTGAATGAATGGATTCAAGTTGTCGTGTTGAATGATTGTATGATTGTGTATGACGCAGATGATGACGTGGTGGTTCACGACGTTCATGGCGCCGGCGATCAAGGCGAAGGTGCACAGCCTGCCCGGTGTCGAGTACCTCTACTCTGTGATGGCGCGCGACCAGCTCGAGGTGCCCGCCTTCGTCACTGAGTACGATATGACTGTGAGTACACACCACATATATACTGCTCTCTTTTATTCTCTTTACCAAAATAGAGATGACAATATGTATAACAACTTAATTAGACTTCGTAAACAAGGCAATGTAAATCTTTTAAAACCGGCGATTTAAGTCTCTAGCCGACTTACGCAATACAATGTATAGAGATCGGTATACAACGCGCGTCGCCATTTTTTTCTGTCATCGTCAAAAACAGTCGGTCGCCAGCTGCTTGCCAAGATCCTTAGAAGGAAAGTCGCTGCAATTTTCAAAATGGCAGAACAAGTATGTAACGGTTGACACATAGTCGCTATGTCTCTACGGACAGAATAGACGATTGTTCTCGACGATTTACATTGCGTTGTGTATGAAGGGTCTTGTAGAATGCGATATACAATTACAATTAACTTTATTTGTTTCCAGATAAACGGCCTCCACTACTTCCAGCCTGACACGAGCAGCACGTAGAGGCTGACTGCTGACTGCTGACTGCTTCCTCAAATACCCACGTATATACTGCCTAATAAATAAAGAATATTTTGTTCAATAAATTTTCGCACAGTACAGTCAGCTGCGTAAATATTTATACATTTACAAAACTATAGATTTGTATAGATCCTTGTTTTCAAAAATGTGTAATTATAGTCGGAACCATTCAAAAGGATGTATTCATATTTTTGAAACCGAAAGTGTATATGTATTTGAAGCTTTGTAAATGTATAGATATTTATGCAGCTGACTGTACAAATTATTTGGATGAGGGACTTGTTATTGGATTGACTTAACTTGATACATTATATCCAATTTAGAATAGTTTGTTAAATAAAAATCAAAAGTTTAATAGAAAGACATATTGATTAATGATTACGAGGAATGCAGAAAGGCTAAGAAAATATTCAAATAAAGTAATATGTATGTGTTTATTGAAAATGTACGAGTATTTGAAACTGTGTACAATCATATTATATAAACTTGTTACATATAATGTAATTTTGGTTTTGGTCGTGTTTATATAGTGTTGTATGTTCCTGTTGAAATTTCTGCATTGTTTAATGTTACTATACATTTTAAGTTTTATTTTTCTATAAAATTCTTGTTGAAAATCTAATCTCTTCACTTATTTCTTCTATTTAAATATAAATAGAGCAGAAATTTCAACAGGAAATATAGTGATTGAGGAAGCGTGAGATTTAGATATTAGAGGTGCATTTTATATTGTTATTTAGCGATTAAAATTTATCCGTAATATTAATGTTCTTATCTGTATTGTTACTAGCGACCTCTGTGCTCTTTGTTCATTCCTGTCATTACATACTCTATGCCAGTATTCTTAGTCTATGTATTTAATCTGTGGCAGTATTTAATCTTTGACAATGTTTGCTCTATCTGTATTATTGACTTATTTGGCGCATTATCAGATTACATTGAAGGGGAATTTGGATCAAATATTAATATTTCCTTGTAAATTAATTAGAACAAATCTTACTGTTGCAATCCACTCTTATTTTCATTTCCACGTCCGATATGATCCTGCGACAGGGTATAGATGTAAAAGTTTCCGATTGTGTGGATTTTTTAAATATATATTTTATTAAACAATACCAATTCGTGACTATAGTGCATTTAATGCCATTTTATAATCTTTATTACTCAAATAAATATAATAGAATTAAAGCAATACAGTTGAAATTATATAAAATTATAAACTACAAAATAAACATGGTTATAGAAATATTTAGTAGGCATGTTTTACAAATATAAAAACATTACCCATTTTTTTTTAATTTGTTTTGATTTTTAACGTATAATATTCATTAGTATCGTTAAGGTGCTAAATATGTTTCGTGAAAGATGTATATTGTTTTATGACCTCATTGTAAATATAAATTACAATTTTAAAGTTATTGCTACTATATGAAAGGCCTACGCATCAGTTTTGACTAATTGCCTTTTAAAATGTCAAATGAGGTGGGAAATTTTAACGAATGTTGCCATGTACAAATCGGTTATTATGTTTAAAAATAACAAAGAGAAATAAATATATAAAAAAAGAAATCAATAGAATACAACAATTTTATTACATCAATTTATAATCAGTCAAAAATATAAAACAAAATAATTAGCTATAGGGTTGCCTGTGAAAATGTTTGTAATTTAAATTCATTAGGATCGTAGTTTATAGTAATTATAGCAGCTTTTTTTGTATGTGAGTGTCGCCAGTAATGCCACCACTGCCACGTCTGCCATCGCTGCAACCACTGCCACTTGCCTTTCGCTTGCGGCGGCGCGGGAAAGGTAGCGTCATAGATTAAACTTCCAATTTGGTAGATATTTTATATGGCAACACTTACATCTAAATTGTTGATTAATGTAAATAAAATATAACTATTAGCCAATTAAAAACAAAAGAATAGTTCCAAAATAAAAGAGACTACGATTCCAATCACAAATTGAAATAAAACTACATAACGTAATGTTTAGATTTTGACAGCTAACAAAGGTTAGTATCGGCAGTTGATTTATTTGTACTGTCCGATTTTTGTTTGGGTTTTTAATTGGCCAATAGTTTACTAGCACTTATTGAATAGTTTCCTTAATATTGTACATTAATATATGTTCACTCATCAATGTGCCACTGAGTATTTACACCTACGATAAATTTAATATTTTGATTGCGATTCAGTAATCGCGCGTGTGGAAATGTTTAACTTTAGGGAGTTTAGAATTTTAATGCAATGTTGTTGTAAGACATAAGAGTTAACATTTTTATTATAGTTGTAAAATTAAGTATTTCTAGTTACTGTTTGTTAAGGCATTTGCAGTGTGATTACTATCAAGTGTTGCCACAATTTGTTAAATATATTTCGTGTCTATGGAGCTACAAATGTAATTGTTTAATATAATAAATAAATTGATAAAAATTAAATTAAGGAACAAATTGTAAATTTACAAGTTACTAAGTGATGGTACTTGTTTCTCATTAGTAGAAACTTATGGTTAAATTTGCTCTTCAACAAGATTGAGGGTGTTACTTGGAAGGCAAAAAACATATTTACGCAGTTTTCAACTATGACTAAAGTTTATTAGATGTTAAGATAATATTGTTACATTAAATTGCTTTGCCTTATGGAGATCACTGTTAAAGTTTGCTGCAATGGTGGTTGTTCGTAGACCATTGCCACTATAGGACAATGTGATGACCAGAGTTTATTAACTTTCATATTTTATTAATAATCAAGCATTGTATAAGCTATGTAAATATTTAATGAAACACAAAATAAAATTATTAATTTACTAATTACTTGTTTCTTTCATACCCAAGCTGAATTTAAGCTATTCTTTTGGACGCCTCTTGAAAGAATAAACTGATTAGTAGGAATAGGAATAAGATAGAACTATTTTATTGCAGCTAATGTAGAGGCAAGAAAGTATGAGGAGGACTTAAACTGCAATTGAAAGGAGGTTAGTAGTAGACAAGTTAAGTTATTATTGAAACATTCATGTCAATTATGTAATAATTTAATTCTTAATAAAAATGTAAAATGCATTGTACAAAACTACTTTGATAAATTGAACTTATTTAACACACTGACAACAAAGTTTAGCACAGGATTCTTCTCCGCTGCAGACATCAATGATATTTTTAAAATTGTCAAAACATTTGAGAATAAATGACCACCAATAGCTCCTAGGTAGCAGGGTATCGGCCACTTCTGCCAGGGCGTGTTCCAGTCCAGTGGTATCACGACAGCGCCGAGCCACGCCCCACACACCGTCAGTAAAGCATTGTTAACTAACATTTCTATTATTGTATCTCTAGAGAAATGTTTCACACCAAATAGAAGTTGCATAGCTGATTCCACCCCAGCGTGAGCTACTAAAGGAAATACAGTCAGTAGTGTCAAAAGCGCTGATATCATAAGTGTCTCTTCGTGACTATCTAACATCGGCGCCCCGAACAGTATCATACCAACAAAAAAACAAAAAGTAACTCCCAAAAGAAATATACCGGAGTTTATAACATCTCTAGCTTGCATCTTGCTTTTAATCTTTTTTGATACAACATTGCTATTTAAATAGAATGATTTCAGCAGCTCCGCAATATATATTAGTAATAAAACATAGAACGTCGAACCATTTCCCAGCGAGTACAAGAGTCCTTTGTATGATATCACAGTAACAATGCTCGGCAAATATATACATGTAATTAAACTCGAAATTGCAATTTTTCTAAGTTCTAATTGATTATTTAACGAAAACATTTTACTTTACTTCTTCCAAATTCCAATAAATAAGAAGATATATTGTTGACATTGACAGAACGCGTATTTTTTTATTTCTATCAATCGTGTTACTGTTATTTCCCTCTTTCTCTCCTTATGTTTTTAGGCGGAAATTGGAATACATTCAGCTATAATTTTATTTTAAAGAGATATAATTAACATTATCGATAAGTATAAACAGTTCTCTGTTCCTACCCAAAAAACTGTTTTATTGCATTATTTATATTACGCTTTTGTGAAAAATGACTCGACATCTAAAAGAATTAAAAAATATTTCTAAACGCATACGACATTTGTCACTTTTGATCGCTTATGTTGCCATTCTAAATGTCTATAATTCACAATTAATTGCAAAATGTCGACTATGGCTATGCGTTTCTTCGCCTTTATAATAACTATTCCAAGTTAATTCAGTGTTGTAAGCTAGTAATAACTTGCAATACCTAATATAGATGGAATTTTTTTTATGTTTTTAATCAATTGAACCCTCAAAACCTCGGTGTCATTTTTATTTTGTCAAAATCTTCCTTACATTATGGCAACAATCTAGTTGGATTCAAATCAAAATAAATTATACGTGTAATGAATGAAGTGTAGTACAAAACAATTCTTTATCTTATTGGAGTCGTGACGACACGGTCTTTATAAATGAAAGGTGCGGTGTAAAAAACCTCCAGTTGATCTCAACGCCTGCGTGACGTTCGGCTACAGTGCGAGCCAACGTTAGACAAAATCATCGTCTTGAAAATAATTTTCGTGTCGCAAGTGTGTGTCATTGATTACATAAAATGCCCTGTCCGTTTTTGGGATCGTTCAACCAAGCCTTCGTGAGGAATTATGGGTCCTCGCTGATGAAGCAGTATGGTAATTACTGCCCAATGATTTCTCGCACTTTCCGCACTCTGGGCCAAGACGAGACGAAGTGTCCGTTCATTCAACAGAATTCGATTATATCCGAGGCGCCGAAGGAGATGTCGGAGGACATCGTCGAGCCAATCAAGCCGTACAAGTATGAAAAATTTTTCAATGATCAAATAAGTGCCAAGAAAAAGGATTACTCCTACCGCATATTTAGAAAGGTATCGCGGTTAGCTGCCGATGGAGTCTACCCGCAAGCTCTCGAGGGCCAAGAGAACCGCCGTGTGACCGTCTGGTGCGCCAACGACTACCTTGGCGCGTCGCGTCATCCTATAGTCCAAGATGCTGCCATTGCTGCCATCAAATCCTATGGTACTGGAGCAGGAGGTACTCGTAACATCGCTGGTAACTCGCAAATGACTGAAAAACTAGAAGGTGAAATTGCTAAACTACATAACAAACCCGCGGCTCTAATATTTAGTTCATGTTTTGTAGCCAATGATGCAACTCTGTCTACACTGGCTAAGATACTACCTGATTGCATAGTTTACTCCGATGCTGGGAATCATGCTTCAATGATCCAGGGAATAAGGAACAGTCGAGCACCCAAACATATCTTTAGGCATAATGACCCAAATCACCTTCGAGAATTATTATCAAAATCACCTGCAGGTGTACCGAAACTGGTGGTTTTTGAAACTGTACACTCAATGAGTGGAGCTATTTGTCCTCTGGAGGAAATGTGTAACATAGCACACGAGTATGGAGCATTGACATTTGTAGATGAAGTCCATGCGGTAGGGCTGTATGGAAAGAGTGGGGCTGGGATCGGAGAAGAGAGAGGGGTCCAACATTTAATAGACATTGTATCTGGGACATTGGGGAAAGCTTATGGTAATGTTGGAGGATATATAGCAGGGTCAACATTACTCATAGACACAGTAAGATCACTGGCGCCAGGATTTATCTTTACAACGGCTCTACCACCTCCTGTGCTGGCAGGATCATTGGCTGCCATTAGACTCCTCGCCAGTGAAGAAGGAAGGAGCTTGAGATCTAAACACCAGGCCATTGTTCGTTACTTTAAACTATCATTGCTTGTTGCTGGTCTGCCTCAATTGCCATCAGTGAGCCACATAGTGCCTGTTCCCATTAAGGGTGCGGACAAAGTGGCACTGGTGGCGGAATCTCTCATGAAGAGGGGACATTACGTGCAAGCTATAAATTATCCCACCGTCGCTCGAGGCGAGGAACGTCTGCGTTTCGCTCCGGGCCCCTACCACACCCCAGAAATGGTGGACAGCCTGGTTACTGCCTTAATAGAATCATTCCACGAAAACAACATAAGTTTCGACCAGTTTATGGTCAACGGGGCCTGCCGAGAGTGCAGCATGGAGTACAAAGCTGACATCATGCAAGATGAACTACTTAAATTCCCGATGCAGGTTGCCTAAATTGTTTACTTCTAGCTTTTGCTAATCACGAGACAAAAATGACAAGAAATATGTTGTATGTTGTATAGTTTATTTCTATTGTTCTATTAACGGTTTGTGGTTTTCTGGTAGAGGAAATAAAAAAGTTAAGTGTTGTACTTAATGTTATGTTTTATTTAGTCCCAATACTTGATGAGTCCATCCCAGCCTGCGGTGAGCAGCTTGCTGGGCTCGTGCGGGTGCCACAGCGAGGAGATGCACACGCCGTCGTGCGCCTTCCACTTCTTGTACAACTTTGTCGTCTTCCAGTCCCACACGTAGCATTTGCCGTCCGCGTCACCCGACACCAGGTAGCTGACGACAACATTAAAATTAGAAAAAATACTTGAAAAATAAATTATCAAGGAATCCCCTTTTAGTTAATCATCCTTTTAATGATGAATTTGCCTTAGATTAGTGTTGATTCAAAATCAACTATGTAAAATGAAAATGACATGACCATGAAAAAGACATCAAAAATAAAAACCAGTTTTTATATTTAATTGCCAACCCTGTTCGCCGCGTATGAGGTTCATGGATCTTTACTATCTAAAACTAAATATACTTTCTTTACAGTAACGATATTATTTAAATGCGTTATGTATCAACAAACCACAACACAAGAACAGGTTCTTATAAAACTAGCGTAATTACATCGAGGAACCGCGTTTGCGGACGTTCTCGTAAACATTACACGTAATAACATCGAAATACACTGTAATTTTTACAAATAAATTATAATTCACATAAACAAACAAGATGATTATATATATTTTATAGATTTCTAACCTGTACTAAATACCCGAAGGGCTTGTGCTGTAATTTTTCATTTTATTATGATACCGTAAGTTTCCACTGCGGAAACATCTACCTGAATAAATGTTGTATATTTTCATAATTAGACCGCGAATCCATTCACCAGGAATAAAAAAAAAACTTAATAGCCTATGTGTTCTTCCAGGCTATGTTCTAAATCTATGCCAAATTTCAATAACATCAATGCAGTCTTTATGGAGATACAAACAAGTAAACATTCATCCATTCAAACATTCGTATTTATTAGTAAGATGAGGTATGACAATATGTTTTATACACGTGTTTCGGCAGTGGAAATTCATTTTAGATATTTCTAATTCTAGCTATGTTATTTTGTTTTTGCTGGAAATTGATGAGTGATTTACGTTATTTAGAAACTATTACATTCAAGTACCATAAAACTAATAAACGTATTAAACCGGTTTTGTCACCGCTAATTGCGAGTTGCATATTGCAAGCTGTCGCG